ACGGCCGTTTTTAAATCGCATTTGAATTTAAATCAATTGAAACGTTCCGGTAAAAGTTTTACCGAGTTTAATTCAAAAGTTAATATTCTCAAACTCGATAGTATGGGCCTACTGTGAGAAATAGAGCTTTTTAATAGGAAATAATTTGGGTATGTTTCTGGAAAAAATATAATTGATGACATCATTAGTCGTTTCTGCAAATATTTTATACAGGGTACCCGTTTTTCGAGTCATTCAACTGGGATAATAGTTACGAGGATATAAGTCGGTCAAAATTTTGATCTTCATTGTTGATGTAAGATGGTTAGGGTACCTTATTGGGTCGAATTCAGATATGTAATCGTATTAGCTCTGGTGCCTTCCGGAATGGACAAACGACATGCAATTTTTGTTTTTTTTTATGGGTGTCATATATAAATACAATAATGTTTCACATTTTATGGCGTACCTTCTTGTTTTCGTCGAAATATCGAATTATAAACTTGTTTCACGAAGCTTTGAAAACAAAACATTCGATTCCAAACGAAATATTGATTAAACTTTCATTGACAATGTCAAAGTTCGGAGGAATACAATTTTCACAATGCCTGATTGAGAGGTAGGTACATGAAAAAATAAACGACAAAAATGTAAATAGAAGAAGTATAAAATCATATGTCAAAGGAGTGGAGGAAAAAGGAAAGAGACAGAGAGAAAACGAGGAGGTCAAAAATCCAAAGAAGTAGGGAGGAGAAGAGGAGTGCAACGAACGCGCGCTCTGTGCTCCGCCTTGTATACGGGGGACCCCCTTCTTAATTCGATTCTGCAATTTTAGTATTGTATCACATACGTATTAAGGAAACATATAATTGGCCATTTGAATACCAGTATTTATCGATCTTGCGTTAGTAATTAATTAATAAAGGAAACCCAGACAGATAAATATATTTCTTTATGTCCTTTTATCAAACAAACTACTTTAGTTTACCGTTAAGTATAATTTTAGAAATGGCAATCTAACATTTAAATTTAATGTATATTTGACGAAAAAACATCGATTAATTTTACAGATGGCAGCAATTTAACAGTGAACGCGAGATTATTTTTATAAAATCGTCAATTAATTAAATAAATTTAACATCCCGTACTTTCCTTTCTGAAAAGCAACAGTTTTTTTGTCTACAAAACGTAAAAGTCCAGTTTATTTATTATTATCAACAAAAACATAAATTTTAACAATCAACCCTTAATTTTTAAACGTTTAAATTTAAAGTAGTAATTGTACAATTGTGAAAACTGACTCTACCCGAGGATGGTAAGTCGCTCACGGCAATAGTTTCTTGATTAAGGTACTGGGTAATTATTGAAGAAGCACCAGATTTGGGGGCAGATAAGATACTAGGTAGAAATTTTAATGTCTCAACTGATTCCTCAATACACCCCTCCTCAACCTTGGCTAACCCACAAGTCTTTTAAGACTGGCGAAATCCGCTCCAGATCAGCTAGCAGTGTAGCAGATGATCTTCGGAAGCAATGGCCAGTGTAGCTCTCTGCTTCCGGTAATTTTAAATATGTTAAATTCATTTTGGAGTATTTCTAATTTTATTAATACCAATAACCTGACACAAATTCACCATTGACATACCTAATAAAAAAATCCACGGTTGAACATCTTAATTTTCTAAAGCTTAACTATCCTGAAATGTTATTGTCACTTTCTGAAATATGCAATTCTATGCATTTTGAAATACATTTAACTAACTTGAAACACAATCTGGAAAACCTAGGGGAAAGGCGTGAACCCAGTAGAGATTTTTAAGGAATCTCCACAGAAATATTCGTAAATTAACCAATCAAAATTTTCTAATAAATCATTGCGATGCATGAGAACAGGACTTAATTTTTCCGAGATTATAATACGCAGGTACTTTTTGTTTTTGTACTGCACATAATATCCGTTTTTAAAAGATCATTATGCCGCATCGCCTGTAATTTAAGTGTCAGAATCCACATTAAACACAGCCATCAAAAAATTTTCGTCCGAAATGTATTGCGACAAACAGTTCGGTGTGGGCATGGAATAAGTTGTTAATTACTTAAACCTTTAATAGTAAAAGGTTTAGCGAACAAAAAGAGACTGGAGTAAAAATGTATTGACACATTTCTAGCACAGTTCATTAAATTTTTTTGTTTGTGAATAAATTTTATTTTTGTAACGATATCATTTACACAGACTTTTTGCGTAGGATCTAGTGGCAATTATTCTACAAGTAACCGATTTTTCAGTTATAATAAAAACTTTTTTTTAACACTTTTCCACTTTTAAAATTTCTATAAAATTTCGTTTTGAATGATGACTTTTAATTTTCATCATCGATATTTCAAATACTTACATAAAGAAATAATAATTTTTGGTACTTATTTCTTTGATATTTTTTGTAAATATCATTTAAAAAAAATCGCATTGTAACTGAAAAACTATTGATTATAGAAAAATATGTTTTTTCCTGTTGATTAAATATGTTCATAAGTATCCATCCAAAACGTTTTAGTACAGAAAATTATAGTTTTGTATTAAAATAATTTTAACGTATCAACTGCGGTTAGGTTAAAAGAGAGTGAAATCAATCGTATTCCGGTTAAAGATTTGCTGATATAGTATAAACAGGTAGCAAGTTTTCTTTGAGACAACAAAGTTCCTTTTGATATTTATATGGGGAAGAAAAGTGATGTTTCATTTCGAATCATTAAATCCAAAATAAAAAACAATTTCCGCCTCATTTTTTATGCAGAAATTAGTTGTTCATTGAGATTCTTCTGATGGCAGGATTTATTTGTCATCTTCTGCGACTTCATTTTTTATTCCATTGTTAGAAATAATAAATAATTAAATATTTTAATTACAAATTGATACATTTCAAGGCAAAGGGAATATTAGTTAGTAATTCTTAATTTATAATACTGTAATATTCAAGAAATAAGATCTATCGTAATACGTCGATACAGATAGTAAAAATATATTAGTAGTCCAAGCTAATTAGACATTTCAGAAGAAATAATTCATATAACATACAAATAATATTTTGTCCAGGGATAGTTATAGGAGTAAGAACCCGAAAATTTATCAACCTAACGGTGGGCACAACCACCTTTTTTTCACGAAAAACTACCCCTGGGCTGGACTTAACTGCGGTTTTTCGTGTTTTTCTTTGAAACTATCACTCTGGCGGGAAAAAGGTTCAGAAACGGAAATGTTGTCTATTAAATTCTACACAAAAAATGCCCTATAGATTATTAACATATCCTCCACTGATGCGCCCACCTTTAGGGCGGGAAATTTTCGGGTCCTTACTTCCACTCCTATAAACTACCCCTGGACAGAATATTATTTGTATATGAGTTACTTCTTCTACTTGCCATTTTTTCGGCTAATTAGCAAGGACTATAGGTATCTGTATAAGAAGTATATTTAAAGAAAAGTAATTCAATAGTACAGAATTAAAGCAATAATAATAATTTGATAAAAAAATACAGGGTGTTAAACTTAAAAAAATATTCTTATTTTTTTTAATAATTTAAAAACTAATAAGTGAAATAATTTTAAAATGGGCACATGTATGTAAGCATTGTCCAAAATATGAGGCATTTTTCTAAAATTTTGATGCTCCAGTAGTGGAGATACAAGGTATCGGTGGCATAATTCTCTAAATAATGATATTTTCGGATTAGTCTTTCAATTTTCTACGAATTACTACTCTTACATGTTTTTCGAAAAAAGCCTCATTTTCGAGTAAAACTTAAAAAACTTATTGAAAACACTTTTATTTAGATGACATGACAAACACTAATCATTCGGTTATTTATTTGAATAAATACTCAAAAATGCCTCCATTTCCACGAACACAGGTGCGATATCTTTTTAGTATCTAACGAAAATGCAATTTGTTCGAAATTTATTGTTGCTTTAATCTGACAAAAAGCATTATTTATTTTTTCTTCTAACTGCTCAGAATGTCAAAGTTGCTGTCGCAGTCATGACAATATAATTTTAAACCGCATTTTATTCGAATATCGAAGTGCGTTTTCAGTTCGTTTTTAAAGTTTTACTCGAAAATCAGACTTTTTTCGAAAAACATAAGAGAGGATAATTAGTATAAAATTGAAAGACGAATCCAAAAATATTATGATTGTTACCGTAAAATAGTGGCGTACTATTTTATTTAGAAAAGTATGCCACCCATACCCTGTATCTCCGCATGTAAGACATATAAATTTTAGGAAAAGGCCTCAGATTTTCGACAATGATTACATAAATAGGTACATGTGCCCCATTTCAAATTATTTCATTTACTAGTTTTTAAATCATTTTAAAAAATTATAATTTTTTTAAGTTTAACACTGTATCTTTTTAACGAAGCCTCCTAGATAAAAACTTTATACGAAAGACCCCTTAAAATCCACCAAAGAATAAGAGGTTTCATTTTTGGCCTCCGTTTGTGAATCACCCTGTATAATTTATTATAAATATATTTGTCACAACTATTTTTACACAATTTAAAATGTCTTCAATATTAGATTACTTATTCGGCATTAACTAACGACTAAACCCTTCATTATTTACTACAATTTTATTATTAATCATTATAATAAAGACGCTGTGTTATAAAAACGAAGATAAACCATTATTAAAAGTAATTACATTTGTTAAATAACAATATTTCGTCGCAAGTGCTGCATTTTTTTAAATATTTAAAATGACATGTATTCTGTATGGCATGATACTAAGAAATAATTACGTTGCAATTAACAATTTCACTCGAGTCGCTAATTAAGCCATCCAAGAGAGCCCCATTAATTTCTAAATTAGCTCTGCAAACCCCCATAATTAATCTCGGAATAATCTTCAACTTAACGACCGTGCCGTAACTCGAATCATCCCAATCCAAATCAAAAATGTAACGCCAACTAACCAAGGCCGATTTATTCACCGAAAACTGAACATTCTACGATCCTCAACATACCTCATCCATCCTAGAGCGTATCCGAAGACAGCTGAATGTTTGTTAATCTACTTATCCATGATGGACACTAAACAAAACACTCACGACGCGTCAAATAACACTCAACTGTCCGTGTACACGGTGTTTTGTTTGTTTACGGCGAAACTCGGGAGTGGAGTCGGGCCCAAACTCGCGCTTTGCGCTCGGTGATCTGCGAGGGTCTGTGGATTCGGTGGATTCCTTATTCTTCACCGGATCAAGTCGCCGGTTGCATAAAGTGACGTCACCAACAGGTTACTTCTCTAGAGGTGGCCCAGCGATCATGGGAGGCCGAGGAAGACAGAAGAAGTAGAATAGAGGCGCAACAGTGAACTCTTCTGCTTGTGTTTACACGAATCGGCATCATACGCTGTACTCGAGAAGTATTTATTATGATTTATGTTGAGATGATGCTCGAAGCAGAGGTACACGGGGAAATTGTGTGCGAACGCAGTCCATGAGACGTTTGATGCGAAGAAGTGTTATCGCTGTTTTGGAATTTTAACTAGCGTACCGGAAAAATAGTCTCCCGTCTAAATTCTGCAAGGTCGTGGACCACACAAGGCATGTTTTGTATTAGACCACCCCACTAAATATCGGAACAATAACTCTCAGTCGCTGAAGTATGAGAGCGAAATAAAAAGTAATCATCGTATGATGCGGCGGATCATATAATAAAAATTTGACTTTTTTGTATGTAGGCATAATTATTTCTGTGTGGGATATTTAAATTCAGTAAATCTATGACTAGAATCATGACGGGTTTTCTAATATCTTTAATCTGTCTCTTAAAATCGACAATATTTTATGTAAATGTAGTTAAAAGATAAATTAAGCATCATTTGATGAAATGGGTGGGGGGGGGGGGAGGAAAAGTAACTTCCTCCGTAGAAAATAATCAATAAAATGTCAGTCAAAGCAAAATCAGGTTCAGAGAATCTGCAGCGCATTCAACTGGATTGAGGATACATCTCCACAAAATCAAATTAGCAGAAGATTCTATCTGTTAGGTTTGCAACTGGGAAGAAGTAAGCAACTTGAATATATCTTTTTTAATGAATTTTTTACTTCTATTTCTGAAGTTATAGCTAATACTTTACATGACCAAAGTATGGATCCTATTTTATTTCTGAATAACATTCCAAAACCTGCCTCATCTTTTTTCTTTTCAGCTATTCTTGAACCTGACTTTAAACAAACCATTCTACATCTGAAAAACAAAATTTGCCTTGATTATTATGGTTTAAGAAATTGGATAATAAAAACATCATTAGATTTTCTTGTGACCCCATTGACACTGCTATTTAATAAATTTATTGAAGAGGGTACATGGTTTGATTGTTTAAAAATAACAAAGGTTCTTCCTGTGTACAAAAAAGGAGACATTGAATAATTTTCGTCCCATATCTATAGTTGGAACAATTTGCTTTCAGAAAGGGCTTTTCTACCATCAAAGCTCTTCTGACGGTTATTGACGAAGTCGTTGATGGTTTTGATAATAATGTTGTTACTTATGCTTCTTTTTGTGATCTTTCGAAGGTCTTTGATTGCGTTAATGTCGATATTTTACTTGCAAAACTTGAATATTACGGTATTCGTAATAATGAATTACAACTTTTTCAATCTTATTTAACAGGCAGGCATATGTTATGGTGTACCTCAAGGGTCAATACTAGGTCCTGTGCGTTTCCTGATATACATCAACGACTTACCGGTCAATATACCAATAGTATATGTATCCTCTTTGTGGATGACACTACACTGTTGTCTCGTGCTAGTATGCGTTCGGGTAGTTTGATTGCGGTGGAAAATTGGTTTTCAGCGAATAAATTGAAGCTAAATTTTTCCAAAACTCAACGCCTAACATTTACTTCTAGTAAAATCCAACCCAAATCGGATGTAAAGTATTTGGGTGTTACTCTAGATTCTAGTCTAAACTGGACAGCACTTATTGATAGCATATGTTCAAAACTATCAACACGAATATTCCTGTTAAGACAGCTGCGACCTTCAGTTGATAACAGTGTAATGAGAATGGTTTATTACTTTTTAGTTCATAGTCATTTGACATATGGCATTGCACTTTGGGGTAATTAGGATTTTACCACTTCCATGCCTTTTTATATGTGAATCCTTACTTCTTATTCAGAAAAATGTTGGAAATTTCGTCAAACACTGAAACGTACACCAACACTATACTAGACATGCTCAGAATATTGTTATTCGATTTTCCCGTATTAACATTACAAAAAATAATAAACTACAAATTGGATTTTATAACAACTTTGTTAATCGTTTTAAATACAATAAAATCAAACAGATGTCTTGTAAAATCTTTCGAAAGATTGTTAAAAATCTCTTATTATCTCACTGTTTCTTTTATCTATTGACGATTTTAATTCATATATGTGTACCAATACTTTTAGAAGTACCTGACTTTATGACCGAAAATGTACTTATGTATGTCAGTGGTCAATAAACTGCTATTCTATTCTATTCTAATACCTACCGACTCATCACAAACATTTTTGGAAGCGCCGACTCTATTGATAGCTCGGTTTACCCAAATGGCTGCGGATAAAGATGTGCAGTTAAATCACAGTTTCAGTTTCACTGTTTCTGTTAAATTATTCTCGCTTACCTACAAATACAGACACACTCCTGAAAAAGTGAATTTAAATATTTTTCATTAATATAAAGCTAAATTATTTTCTTGTTCGTTTATAGTACAAACGGACGACGGCCTATCTACGGCTACAACTTTATATGTCGATTCCGTAGGTTCTCAATAAGTTTTAACAATTTTGATGATTATTATTTTTAAACACCGTGTTGCAGTTTCAACGATGTTGATTATTGTAAATGCCTATTATTACCGTGAAAAAGCCTTTTAAAGTTTGCGAACATTCTGATTTACAATTATTATTTGCAATATCTAAATGTTCACTCGAGACTTGTAAAGTAGGTACATTCAATGAATTCTTCAGAACGTGTCTGATGAATAAAGCTTTTATAATTAATGAAATATGTTTGATAGACGGTGTGTAAATAAGACATCCAATCGGCAATAAACAAGTGTGAAAGACAAACAAAACGTTTAGTCCTCGTGGACCTACTTGATCTCAAGAATATAGTTTTATTTTCCACTTAAACTGAAGGATTTTCGACGCGTATCAAACTGAACTGACGTTTGTAAGAGTTCATAAATATTAATTGCAATGTAAATATATAAAGCACTTAATTTAACATCGATTGAAACTGAAAAATGAAGGTACTTATTATGTTACTCGGAAAGTTTATTTTTTTAAATATTATTTTGTATGATATAAAAATGTGTAAATTTGGTGTTGAGTTAGTGAAACATAAAACTCTATATCCAACAGGAAAATCTATCATTTCCGGCCAATTGTTACGATCAACACTTTTTTAGACAAGTGTATGAATACATTACATGGTCCTTAATTTAATTTAATTGTGTCTTATTCAAAAATATACGATAGCGCAGAGGCCTTTCAATGCCGATGATATGGTTTATTAGACACACAAAAGCGACAAACAAGCTCCAGAAAAGAGACTTTGGATAAATTATCTGTTAGCGATAATGTATTCCTTTATTCCAAAAAAACTTATATAAATTTATTATTTTTTTAATCAATAGGGTCGTTCGATTCACTTCTTCTCATGATATCTGTAATAGGTATATAATTTCATTCATAAAATTACAGATTATGGAGAAAAATAAGTCTGCTAATATCTGAAATAAAGGATGACCTATGTTTTGCTAACAGATTTTTTTAATCAAGTGTCAACTTATTTAGGACATTTCTATCTACAATCAAACAGTTATTATTCAAGGAATGGTTAATCTTAGCAATATACTCACTTTTTTATACAATAATTAAGCATTATAAGATAAAGGTAATCTATTTTAGTTATTATAAGATTATTAGGAGAAATTTTATTGGCTAAAATAAAAATAAAAAAAGAGTTGTGACGGACGTGGTTATTATAAAGGGACGAGCAAAAATGTAAAGCGTTCCGCTTGTTAAAAGGTCACCCTGTATAGTGCCAATTTAAAAGCTAACTCTATAATAGATAATTAGGATCATTAGAATCCGAATCCTGTCCGTTAGACAAGCAACTAAATGAAAATATTAATTTTAAAAGTACACGATCGATTAATTATTCCTATTAGGATTAGATAATTATTTATAGCTTAAAATTCAGGATGACAGGGCTAAAAGTACGGGCCCAGTGGACTGATTAATTCTTACAACAAACAAACCAAGTAGTCGTCCCCTTGATAAAGTAAAACGGCTTGCAAATGAAGCACGGGTTTATTAACTAATTTAACTAACATAAGAGCCCGATGAGATTGAATTTCAGTGATAATTTTTAATAAACATTCTAGATAAGGAGATAAAAGGTAATTGATTTTTTCAGCAAAGATCTCACTGAGCTCCTACGGGCTGAATATAAAATTCTTTTGAGACTTTTTTGATTATTTAGAAGAGAATAATAGAACAACAACGACAATAAATACATATTTCCAAAATTTAACGCCAGAATTATAAATAAATCTGTTGACTGGAAAAGGATTTAAGATATTTGGTACCATAAGCTTCAACATATCTAAATAATTAGAGAAAAAAATTAAAATCGCACCTAAAAATAGTTTTCTCATAAAAAACTAGCGGGAGATCGCTGATTTGCTTTAATAATACAAATTAAGAAGCAAAAAGTTTTTTGCGGATATTTTAATTCAATTCGCAGGAGAAAACATACCCAAGTCTTCAATATGATTGATGAAAATGTTGAGTAGTATTCAATTATCAATTCCACGCTCTTCAAATATGGTTGGAACTGCTTGTGCAGTGAACTTTTTGTTGTATCTAATAGCCACCACATTTTGTGAACCTAAAATGTTCAGTATTTGACTTTTCTACTCATAGTGGCACAACCAAATTATTCATAATTTATTTATAATTTTATGGAAAAAAACATTAGAAACGAGAGTAAGCAATACTTTTCTGTTATGACTTCCTTCATAAGTCTAAGAACAAAATATGTTATCGATTGTGCTTGTAATATTACTTACAAAATGTTTATCTAGATATAGAGACAACCCATTTGAAATACATCTAATTCTAGAAAAGAAGCAGTAGTTCTTATAATCGTCACTAGGCCATTAA